CAAGCCTGGCGATCAGTGAGGTGACAGGTGTCACAGCCAGATTGCCCTCATGTCCAAAATGGATTTTGAGACAGTTATAAAGGACCTTGCAAAGGAGTGTAGAATGTAGAGAACTGATAGTTGAGGGCAATGGAATCATTGGTAGAGGAAGTAAAGTATTTTATCTATTTATCTTGGCTTTTTGTGTCGCACCTGGCAATGCACAGGGCTTACTCCTGGCTTTGCACTCAGGAATACTCCTGACGATGCTTAGGAGAGCATATGGGATGCTGGGAATCGAACTTGGGTCGGCTGCCTGCAAGGGCAAGCATCCTACCCCTGCATTACTGCTCCAGCCCCGAGAAAGTAAAGTATTTTAGATACAGGAGCAAGGCACAGACTTGGGACTGAAAGATGGTCTGGAATTACAGCCTTCACTGGGGAAAACAGAATAGTGTCAGTTTGCCAAGATCACTTCACTTGATCACTTGATACCCTGTTACTCATCGATTTACTCGAGCGTGTGCCAGTAACGTCTCCATTCATCCCTGTTGCGTGCTAGCGTAGCCCAATGGCATCTGCTCGTTCTAGGAATATGCAGAGCCTCAAACCGATCATTCAGGGTCTTGACAAAGAAGTTTGACCATCTTGTAGGTGGGCGTCCACACAGTCTTTTGACGTCCCATGGAATCCAGTCAGTAATGGCTCTAGTCCAGCGGTCATCTCTAAATCTCATTACGTGTCCAGCCCATCTGATTTTTGATGCCTTGGCAAATGAGACAGTGTCCCTGATTTCTTGAGCGTTGACGGAGATCGGAACTCTGGATTCATTCTTTCATTTGAGTGAAGCGTGATACTCCAAGCATAGCTCTTTCGATTCCTCCTTGAGATACTCGAATAGCGTTCTCATCCTGTTTTCGTAGACACAGAATTAAACTAGCTTGGCTTTGAAAAATTTGTATTTTATCCCAGGGGTAATAAGAGCTAAAGGAAGAGGTGACTTGGAAAGTGTGGGCAGAGTTCTCTAGACTTGTATTCGCTTATTGAGGAATTTTCATCCTCCACTGTAATGTTCGCAGTTGTGTTTTTTCTTAATTACACAAAAGTTTGAGAAAATTTGTCAACAACAAGAAATGAGAAGAATTTTCTTATTCACTAATTATTTTGTGTATCATTTTTAGAAGTCTTTTCATCAGCACCCCTTCACAGTATCATCATATCAGTAACATAAATTTCGGTTGCACCTCATTAGAAATCGAAATTTGTGTGCCTTGGAATTCCGTTCTTATTGAGTAGTTTTTAAAACGTATCTAGGGCCAGGCGGAGCACTTGGGGAGGCGGCACTGGAGGCTACTGTGACTATACCTGGTATAGCACAGGGTGCCACGAAGTGCAGAGGACCACACGTAAGGCTTTGTATGTGCCGTGCATGAGCTCTTCCCCTTGGGTGATAACTCTGCCACTTGGTTTTGAAATTTAACACGTTGCCTTGAGATTCGGTGGCACCATATGCTTCTGCTACTGCTCTAGTTCATTTTTGTTTGTTTTTGGGTTTTTTTTCTTTTAATCACACTCAGCTGTGCTCAAGGCTTACTCCTGGCTCTGCTCAGGGATCACTCCTAGCTCTGTGCCCAGGAACCACTCCTAGCAGGGCTCAGGGGACCTTACATGGCGCCGGGGATTGAAGGAGGATCGATCCTGAAGCTAGTGACAGCCCACTTAAGTCTCCAGCACCTGCTCTAGTTCATTTTCTTGCCTCCCTCTCTTGCAAACTCAAGTTGAGGCCTGCTGCCAAGGTCTGGGGAAAAAGCCAGGATGTGTCTCTCTCTGAGTCCCAAGCATGTAGTAGGGTAGGCTGAGTATGATTGTTGTGTTTGTGTAATCTGTGAATGGCCTTTGTCCTCATAGCACCACCTAGAGAAGAAAGGAAAAGCTGGAGTCAATGGGAGATTTGTACCCCTTTAGATTAGGAATGAAAACTAACCAGAAATGAGTTGGAGGGCTGGAGTGAGCGCAACACGGAACTGTGTGAGTGATAGATTGGGGGAGGAGGGGAAGAGTGAGCACGATTATAAATTGTGCTTTGAAGTAGACTAGTCCTGCAGTTTGGTGAGGTGGGGAACACTCAGTGGTCCTCAAGGCTGACTCCTGGCTCTGCGCTTAGGGATCACTCCTGGCAGACTTGGGGGACCATTTGGGGTGACAGAGATTGAACCTGGGTTGACTCTGTAAGACAAGCACCTTACCTCTCGTCCTACCCCTTTAGCCTCTAGCCCTGTACTTTTTAACGTCACTAGGAAACTTATCAGAAATGTAGATTTGTGGTTTTCATCCAAAGGCTAATGAATCAAAAACCGATTGAGACTTTTAGGTCTAACAAATCTCTGAGTGATTGTGATAAACATTCAGGTTTTAAAACCACGAGACGACAAGAACAGTGAGACCACTGACTAGGGAAGATGACAGATGTAAGACCAGTGAACTTAGCTAATGAAATGGATTAAGTAATTGCAGTAGGAAAACTCAGCTTTTATTATTAGAAAACTTTCAGTTTTTAATAAACAGGCTCTAGCTATCTTGTTTATGTCACGCCCTTCTTGGGCATAGCACAGAAGTAAATCAAGTGGATTTAAAATAGATTAGTCTTAATCAGATCTCTCAGACTCTCCACCCAGGTATTTTTCTCATATCTACTTACAGAATTTTTTCCCTTCTTAGATGTCTCATGGGACCCTCAGATCTCAAGCCCCGCATGTGTTTTGTTATCTCTTCCTTCTGATGCATATCTCTGTGCTTTGTTTCACAGAACTGCACTACTTTCCATGCAGTTGGCTATTTTTGGCTTAGTTCTCACTAAATTATTTTGATTCTACCATTGAAGTTTTCAAAGGTACCTATTTCTCTCCATCCCTACTGGTTCCTAATTTACGCCACCATTACTTTCTCACTAGATCACTTTTATAGTCATTTAGCTATCATCTTAGCCACTCCAGTCTCTCAGTTTCTAATCTGCCTTCAGTGTAGCTAAAATATGCTGTCCAGAACGCAAGTTTGATCAGTTCTTTGCTTCTGCCTATGAAGTTGCTCCCCATTACCTTTCTTTTGAATGTACCGTCCAGCTAGTACATGGGGCAGGGCACTTGCCTTGCACAGACCCAACCTCGATTCAACCCCCACAACTCAGTGTGGTCCCCCAAGCCCTACTGGAGTGGTTCCTGAATGCAGAGCCATGAGTAAGTACTGAGCACAGTCTGGTGTGGTTCCCCACCCCCCCCCCCAACAAAAAATTTTAAAATAAAGTAATATACCCTGTTCAAGGTATACAATGCAGCCTTATCTCTTCATCCTTGTCTTTTTAGACCTGACCTGCTATTCCCTCTTCTTGGAGGAATATTCTTAAACTTCCTTGACTAGTCTGACACTGCTAACCCTTCAGGGGACCATTTAGACAGTGCCTCTTTTATGAACCCTTCTTTGACCTTCTCAAGTCTAGCAGTATATATAGCACTGTCCTCCACTGTAGCACTGTCCTCCCATTGTTCAGCGATTTGCTCAAGCGGGCCCAGTAACGTCTCCATTGTGAGATTTGTTGTTACTGTGTTTGGCATATCAAATATGTCACGGGGAGCTTGCCAGGCTTTGCCATGCAGGCGAGATACTCTCGGTAGCTTTCCGGGCTCTCCAAGAAGGGCAGAGAAATCAAACCCACCTCGGCCGGGCCAGCTGCATACAAGGCAAACGCCCTACCACTGTGCTATCGCTTCTGGAGTCTAGTTACAAGTGAATGTCCAGAATTTCCCCCTTGCATGTCATGTATTACTGCTTATTATAATTGTCTTTTTATTTTATTGATCACACTTTCTCCCCTTCTAGACCCACTAGATTGTAGTGACCCCAAGGTTTGAGACTATCTGCTATATCAATATGTCATGGGCTCTGAAACGTAACTGGCAAATGGCAGATACATAACAAGCTTGTTGGAATAAGTATTAATATTCTGAATATGGCCATTTGAAATCATTGTAAAGGTTAATGGTCAGTTCCCTCTACCAGTGCTCCCAGGTTTTCTCTCACCACCCGCATGGTCTTTTGAAATAGGTTTAAGTAGTTAGTGGATAGGATTTTGTATTTTCTACCTTTCACCCACCCCTAGTCATTTTATCCTCTTTATCATTTCATCTAATACTTGTATTAGTTCATTCTATATGCTGGACACTATGCTAGCTGCTAAATTTCTGCTTGACATGATTCAAATAATCTGCAAGAGGAGCTATCCTGTTGTGGAGGAAATAGATCATTTAGAAGTAGTTTACGTATGGCACATCAAAGCCTAGAAAGAGAACAGAGTGCTCAGAAGACAGCTTGGAGATGCAGCTGACATCGTTTGAAGAGTCAGGAAGAAGTGATGTATGTCAAATCCAGTATTTAAAATAGTTTGGTTGACTTTTTCAGTTAAAGACTAGGATCAGACTGTTCAGTCAAAGAAACAGATAGGGATGGGGCTGGAGTGATAGCACAGCGGGTAGGGCGTTTACCTTGCACGCGGCCAACCCAGGTTTGATTCCCAGCATCCCATATGATCCCTCGAGCACCACCACGAGTAATACCTGAGTGCATGAACCAGGAGTAACCCCTGTGCATCACCGGGTGTGACCCAAAAAGAAAAAAAGAAAAAAACAGGGAATGAATGTCCACGAGTGAACAAGAGAAGGTGCTGCTTTATGACCAGAGTTCAAGGCATTGGGAAGGAAAGCACGCTAGGTGTGATATGGGGAGCTTTGTGTTTTATAATTCTTGCGGTATGAAAAAGACACTGAGGGAAGTTGATCCTGAGCTAGATCAACAAGATGTAACTCAGGAGAGATGGGAGCAGTCAGGATTTAGGAAAGGACTTGAAAGTCATAGAGTAGTGAATGGATCTGAAAAATATTTTGGATGAAAAAAAATTAGACTATTAGTGATAAACTAGACTTGTAGAGAGGAACAAAAACTCTCCTAACCACCTTCTTTCTTTCCTATAGTTCCTGACTAATATGAAGCAAAGATTTTACAGAATAACTTGCAGCAAAACTCCCTACTTCCATAACCATCGATTTACAAATTCTTGAAGGAGCTGTAGGAAAGGGGGAAGGAAAGGTCACCCCAGGAAGCCTCTGGCACTTGTGAGTAAGACACATTCCTGTTAACTCTTGTCGGGGGAGAAAATAGCACCTAACCCATCATCTCATAGTCATTTTTGTTTCATGTATTTCAGCTTGTTAAACATGTAATCTTCTGCAACTCGGTCACATGGGATTAGTGGGGAATTTAAAAAACTTGAAAATATCTCTGATGACTAAGAATATTCCGATCTTAACGATTGGAATATTCCAATCTCAACTTTACATTGGCATGCATTTTCCGATCCTTCCAAGAAATCATATTTAACTTTCTTTAATAAAACTCATTAATATGTTATAGGATTTTAAAGCACTTTGAAGACTGTTGTTGTCTCCAGATTTGTAAGTGAAGGAAGCCAAGTCAGAGATAAGATGAAATGACTCGTCTGAGATCACATGGCCACTGGTAGCTGAGAGTCAGTGTGATTCCGGCCATGTATAACTTAGAGTTTGTGGGTGGGGGAGGGGCCGGCCTTTCAGAGCCTGAGAGATCATCATCAGATCTCCGAGCCCCATCTCTTCGGATCCCGGAAGCTAAGCAGGGTCCGGTGGTTAGTACTTGGATGGAAGATCTTCATCAGGCTTTGTGTGTTGGCATTTTCATAAGTAAGTTTTAGGCAGATTTCTTATCCTAGTTTGACTTTACACGTTCATTAGTAAAATAGAAATATCTAAACTAGTCTCTGGGACTAGGAAGACGGTATAGGAGTGAGTAAACTGTCTTATGCCTGCATGTAGCCAACCTCGTTCAATCCCCTGCACCAATAACATCGCTAGCCACACCGTTGCAGTAGGAAGTGGCCTGAGAGGCCCCTGAGCTCCCTGGGGTGGCCAGGGTCAATCCCAGCAGTACCACAATCTAATACCCAGCAGTACCACAGCCTAAGACTCAGCTGTGAACCTAGTTGACGAGAATCACCTATAGGGGTACGCTGAGTGCTACTTGGGAACTATTCCCAGTAGTTTAATTAATCAGTTGTTGACATTAGCCATTAACATGCACATAATAAGCACTTAATAAAGGTTTTGAATCTTTCAAACTAACCACTGATCTACTTACATGTTTTATTTTTTAAGATTTTTCTCCTTTTCACCTAGTTGTTTCCTTAATATATTTATAATAGACTCTCAGTATTTATTTTTATATCGTAGCTTTGTTAGAAAACTATATGATAGGTACTTTTAAAAATTAGTAATGACATTTCTGCATTCATGTTATTTTGTGGTATTAAATTTTTTCCATAGTATGAGAGAAGAAAACAATGAAGATGTATTTATTATTTAAACTTCCTTTACAAATCACTGTCACTGTCCTCCCGTTGTTCATCGATTTGTTCGAGCGGGCCCAGTAACATCTCCATTTTGAGACTTGTTGTTACTGTGCTTGGCATATTGAATACATCACGGGTAGCTTGCCGAATACATCCCAGGTAGCTTTCCAGGCTTTGCTGTGCGGGCAAGAAACTCTCGGTAGCTTGCCGGGCTCTCCGAGGGGGGCGGAGGAATAGAACCCGGCTTGGCCAGGCTGGCTGTGCGCAAGGCAAACTCCCTACCGCTGTGCTATTGCTCCAGCCCCTTTATAAATATCAAGTGGATTTTTAAAAAGAGTAAATAACTTCTTGACAAATAAATAACAGCATCCATAAAAGTGCTGAAAATTAAACTGAGGTCTTTTCTTACCTTTAGCAAAGTTGCATGTAAAAGCAGTGTTCATTGTTTTTGTTAAGTCTATATAGTTCTCAATTTTTTGTATTATTAAGAAGCCCCATCACTGTTCGCTTCAGGATTTTACTATCTTTCTGCGAACACATCTGACTGATGTTAGTTAATTAGAGGTATGTTGCAGAAATGTGCCTCTGTTGTGAAAACAAATTAAAACCTGTTTGTTAGTCCTCTGATGTGGGTTGTCAAAAAAGAAAAAGAAAAGAGAGGAAAAGTGGGCCTGAGAGATAGTGCAAGACTTAGGCACTGGCTTGCCTTACATATGACCCATCCTGGCTTGATCTCCATCATTCTGTGTGTCTATTCTCACTGTCAGGAGTGATACCTGAGTACAGAGCCCGTTGTAAGCCCTGACCACCAACAGATGTGCAAACACACCCTCACACTTCCCAAAAGGAAAAGAGAAGGGGGAGAGTTGGGGAGAGAGAGAGAAAGAGAGATTGATTCCAAGTAAGTGATTGATTGCAGGTGGCCGACCTGGGTTGATTCCCAGCATCCCATATGGTCCCCTGAGCATCTCCAGGAGTAACTCCTGAGTGCATGAGCCAGGAATAACCCCTGTGTGTCACCGGGTATGACTCAAAATGCAAAAAAAAAAAAAAAGTGATTGATTGTTCACGACTATTCTTCCACTTTAGAAAGGCCCAGTTTCTGTCCATTCCTATCATGTCCATATCAAAGTTTTCCCCATGTCAGTTGAGTTGGTATTATGCTAGTGTAGCTATTTGACGAAACTCCCTGTTGTACTTTTTCCTAGAGACTGCCAAGGCAGGCATGGCTTCGGGAGAAGAGAAGTTGAAGAGGACAGACCGAGTGCTCAGAGTAAGTCAGCTAGACGCGCTGGAGCTGAACAAGGCCCTGGAGCAGCTCATTTGGTCCCAGTTCAACCAGTGCTTCCACGGGTTCAAGCCGGGCCTGCTCGCCCACGTGGAGCCAGAAGTGAAAGCGCTCCTGTGGCTCCTCTTGTGGAGATTCACCGTCTACTCCAGAAATGCCACCGTGGGACAGTCGGTTTTGAATATCCAGTACAAAAACGATCTGTCCTCAAAATCCCAGCCACCGACCCAGAGTCAGAAGCTCTGGTACGCCGCCTGCACCATCGGCGGGACGTGGCTGGAAGAACGCTGCTACGACTTGTTCCGAAACCACCACTTGGCGTCGTTGGGGAAGGCGAAGCAGTGCCTCAACGTCACCATTGGACTCTTCAAGCTAGGCGGGCTAATCAATTTCCTGATCTTCCTCCAAAGAGGCAAGTTCGCCACCCTGACAGAACGCCTCCTGGGCATCCGCTCGGTGTTTTGCAAGCCCCAAAGTGCCCGTCAGGTCAGCTTCGAGTACATGAACAGGGAACTTCTCTGGCACGGCTTTGCCGAGTTTCTGATTTTTCTCCTCCCCCTGATCAATATCCAGAAGTTGAAGGCCAAGTTATCTTCCTGGTGCATCCCTGTGAGCGGTGCCCCCAGCCGTGACAGCACGTTAGCCACCAGTGGCAAAGAGTGTTCTCTGTGCGGGGAGTGGCCCACCATGCCGCACACCATCGGCTGCGAGCATATCTTCTGTTACTACTGTGTCAAGAGCAGCTTTTTATTTGACATCAACTTTACGTGTCCCAAGTGTGGCTCAGAGATACAGAGTGTGCAGCCGTTGAAATCAGGGATAGAGATGTCAGAGGTGAACACTCTCTAGGCACTCAAAAGTGTTTTCTCTGAAGAAAATGGTATTATTATGTCTAGATCCTTGATTGTCTTCACCCCAAGGATACTTAGATGTATGTCTCTAAAAGGGTAGGGCTGCTCAGTTACCAAGTTACCAGCTTCTCTCTTTCCAGGTGTTGCTAAAATCTTATCATAAAAAACCATGTGATGCTAAATATATTGTGAAAATACATTTTTTTTTAAAAAAAGAAATCATTGCATTAAATTTTAATGTCATGAATAATGGGTAGGGTTTTTTTTTTTTGTGAGATGACCACTAGGAATACTTTTTCATTTTGCTGCTCCTAAAAAGAGGTTAAACTTTAAAAAAATAAAAGATTTTGGAGACTCGGAATGAGTGTGCGTTTGTTTTCACAAATAACATGATGCCATTGTAATCTGGTCATGATAAGGCCATGTTTTAGACCTTGAGATCTGATGCCCCAGTTGTAACCTTAAGCTTTTCTTTGAAGACGTTTTTTTCAAGGAGCTCGTTTGGCTTCATGCTCAGGAATGATGGCTCCTAGAAGCCTAAAACTGATGTTTTTCCAGCTTTTTGATCTCACTCACTAAAGCAAGAATTTCTTGCCTAATATTTCCAGTAAAGTCCAGGCACTCACTGTCATTAGTCTGCCTGGGATTACTTGCACATTCCTGACCCAGGATGGATAAACAGTGTTGCTCATTACTCAAATCAGGATGAAACCACTTCATTGCTATCACATGAACCTAAAATAGTAGGAGGCATTTCACCCCAGGATACTGTGGTACTGTCGTAAGTATGGTCTTGATGGGTAAAAACAATAGACCCTCAGGATCTACATTCTTCTTCTTTATACTTCATTCTATTTGCACTGTTTGTCATTATCTTTGTTTGTTTGGTAGGCCACACCCTAGGCTGTGTACTCATCCTGGCTCTGTATTCATGGATCGCTGCAGGTGTGGCCCAGGGGACCTGGGGATCAAACCCAGGTCAGCCACATGCAAGGCAGTCATGCCATCTGCCACCAGTCAGCCACATGCAAGGCACTCATGCCACCATGAGCCTTTGACTCACTACTTGCAATTTTAAATTTTGTCAATGATCAAGTTTGAAATGGACATAAGTGACTTAATTGGATTAGATCTCAGATTTGAAAGGATGAAAACCAACAGAATTTTAACAGACCTTCTATATTCTGAGTAAGTGCCATATTGTCATAATGTTAATCAGAAAACACAGTAGATTCATAGATTCTACACTTGCTAATAAATAGAGTTGTCGGTCTTACGGGGATTGCATTTTCTTTCTCTAATGCCAATTCGAGCAACAAGGTTTTTTTCTAAATTTTTCTTTAAAAAAAAAATCTTTTTTTTTTAATCTGCCACCCCACCCTCCACCTGACCCCACAAAAGTGTCAGAGACAGGGCTTTTCTGTTCTTATTTTCACTGAGTAACCAGAATGTATTTTGCTAGCTGAGTGACTAAACCTAACCTCCACAGGGCAGATAGAGATGTTTTTGGTATGGGTGGGGGGCATCACTGTGGTAATATGTATTTTTTGTTGTTGAGGCATTATGATTTACAATTATATGTATATGTATTATATGTAACGTATAATATGTATATATATTTGGTTTGGAGGCAGGACAGTATATAGTGGTGCTCAGAGCCAATCACAGCTCTTTGCTTGGGAATCACTCAGCAGTGTCACGAGACAATGCAGTGCCCGGAATGGATCTGGGGCTCCGCATGCAGAGCAGACTTCGCATGTGCTCTGCTCATTGAACTTTTTCTCCAGCCCAATAATTCTGATCTTACTGTGGGTATGCCCTCACCCGAGACACCAATACACAGGTAGATATGGGAAGGGATTTGAAGTACAAGATAATAATTATGGATCTATCTTAAACTAAGAAGCTTCTCACCAGTAGATTAAAAGTAACACAAGGGAGGAAGAAAAATGTTCACACTAACAAGATATCAGAGAAAATCTGATAAAAACAATGTGTCGGGGTGGGGGTTGGGGGGCTTAACTATGGTAGGATTTAAAGTAGGGGCACACTCCCCCAGTCCCACCAAGAGAGAGTGCTGAGTGCAGAGCCAGGAGTAAGCCCTGATCACCTCTGGGTGTGGCCAAACACCACCCTTCCAAAACTGCATTGCACTGTATCACTGTCTTCCCATTGTTCATGGATTTGCCCGAGCGGACACCAGTAACGTCTCCATTGTGAGACTTCTTGTGACTGTTTTTGGCATTTCAAATACGACACGGGGAGCTTCCCAGGCTCTACTGTGCTGGTGGATACTCTCAGTTGCTTGCCGGGCTCTCTGAGAGGGATGGAGGAATCAAACCTGGATCTGCTGCATACAAGGCAAACGCTCTACCCTCTATTAAAAACTTTCAAAATACTAAGATTGGGGGTTGGAGCGATAGCACAGCGGGTAGGACGTTTGCATTGCATAGGGCCGACCCGGGTTCAAGTCTCAGCATTGCATGTGGTCCCCTGAGCACCGCCAGGAGTAATTCCTGAGTGCAGAACCAGGAGTAACCACTGTGCATCACCAGGTGTGACCCAAAAAGAAAAAAAAAAAAAAAGAATACTAATATTAATGTGGGACATTCTGTCAGGACTGCTGGGCTAAATGAAAAGTAAGTGGGGATAAAGTGGCCTCGGCTCAACCAAAGTCACCTTATATTATTAAGAAGGCAAGAACATTACTATTGCCGTATTTGAAGAAGCCTTCAAAATGCGATGGGACTTAAAAGCCAACAATTTATTTGAAACATTTGCTTTTAACAAAAACCTATCCTTCCCCGCCCAGCCCCTCCCTTCCTTCCCCACTTCCTCTCCCTGCCCAGCCCAGTCCCTTTACTGTATTAAAAACTATTCTTTCCCTCTCAGCCAAAACAGTTGATCTTATTGTCTTCAGAACTAATGTTTCATAGTTCTGTGCAGCTAAAACTACAAGTAACTTGGCATCGGGTCTTTTGTATATTTGTTTCCCTTTTTTTCCCTTCAAAAAGTATATAAATCACAAATCAAGATAGAATATGTCTCTGTATTTGTTTTCATTTGTTTCAATATTTTTTAAAAAAAAAACTTTGGTTTTAAAATGTTAACCAAAAATGCATGTACTATTTTGTATGATGGTTATGGAATCCTGCCTTGAGTTGTTATTCTTGCAATTATAATAAGTCAAATGAGGTTAAACTAAGTCACCGCTGAGACAAGATCCAAAAGTATGGTTATTCAGTCAGCAATTCACTTTACTTCTCATTACTGTAACAGTAGAATAACTTTTTTTTTTTTAATTAATAGATTTAACTCACACCTTGCTGAAGTCCCAGACCCATTAAGACAAACCTATCAGGTTAAAAAGAAGCTGGGTGTAAACTTGTTAATATCCATTGCCTGAGAATTTATCTCAAGGAAATTATAAGAACTTGGATATAGATTTATTGAGATTATATTAAGTGTAGCACTGTCAGTAATAAAATGAGAAATAATATAAATATTCCACAAAAGGGGGAATACATATATGGTATAGCTATTAAATTGGCCCAAACAGTTACATACAACAGGAAGGAATTTTGGGGGTATTTTTTTTAAGGAATCTTATATAAAATAAGTGTGAATAATTTTAATTGTATGGGAAAGTACTCAGAATGTAAATTTAAAATTTAAGGACTAGTATAGACATGAGATCGAACAGCTAATGAATATATTATCGCTTTGTCTGAGTCTGTAAAATGACTGTACATTGTATTTTTCTGGGTGGTGGTGCTCATTGCTTCAGGAAGACTGGGAGTGGGCTCACTCCCAGTGCTCCTCAGCCCAGTTATTGAGCTCTGAGAGTTTCTGTGCTGGAGACCCTCAGATATGCTTGGGTGCTGCTACGGGGAGTCACGCAATGCCAGAGGTTGAACATGGGGCCTCATACACACCTGCATGTGCTCCAGATCTTTGATCTATCTACCCTGCCTAAGATTATCATATTTCCTCCTCTGGGTACTTGATCATTGTATAACTGAAACCCAAGCACAAAAGTTTGTAAATCTGTAACTGTACCTCGTGGTGTTTCACTAATAAAAAATATATATAAATTTTAAAAAAAGGAATTAAGACGGGGCTGGAGAGATACCACAGCAGGTAAGGCGTTTGCCTTGCACACAGCCGACCCGGGTTCGATTCCCAGCATCCCATATGGTCCCCTGACCACCGCCAGGAATAACTCCTGAGTGCAGGGCCAGGAGTAACCCCAGTGCATCACCAGGTGGTGACCCAAAAAGAAAAAACAAAAACAAAAGAATTAAGACACCAGGTCGGACCCAGATTATTGTATTCCTTCCAGATCTGAGTCCAAATGCTGACATTTCTGAGGGATTTTTGAGGTTTGATTGCCAATAAAGCATAATGCAAACTTGAACTTCAGCTGCAACTTCAGTCACAGTTCTGAATTAGGGGAAAAAGAGGTGTCTGGGATGGTTTATTGCTAAACTTATCATTAAGTAATTAGTGACCAGCATTCCCAGTGGCTTCTGATCTTTTAAATGCACATCAATTTCCAAGAGTACTTGTTTAGTCAACAAAATGATAAAACGATGGAGTTGTCTTCCACTAATGGAAGTTATGGTTAATTTCTTTTAAAATGCTTAGCCGCGGACCAAATTAAAAAGGACAAATTATGTTCTTTGGGAACAAGCACTCCCACCTACTACTATTTCACATGATATTCGTTAGCATCCCTTTGAAAAGTTATGAGCATTTCCTTCAATTTCAACCTGAGTCTTCTGCTAACAACAAAGCAAACTCTGAATTTGCTGATAGGGAGAGATTATGTCTTTCTCTCTTTCTGTAGCACTATACCTCCCCAAACTGGCAAAGTACAGATGTTCAGTAAATAACTGAAGAAGGTAAAAGAGGAGTTTAACCATGAAGTTTCTCAAAATATGGAGCAGAGCAGTTGATGGTATTATTGTGCAAAGATTTCTACGTGCATTTCTATTATAGTACAGAAAGGCCCGGTATCCCCAGTTTGCCTTTATAGTGTTTCTTAGGAGTGCCATTTTTAATTTAAACTGTTCTGTGGCATTCTTGCTTTGAGGGAAAACACAGTTGGAATTCAGAAGCACAATAAGAGAATTAATAACTTTTCTTTGAAAATACATGCAATTTTGGAGCTGTCAATTTCAGCTATGTCTCTTTAAATACTTTTTCTTCTAGAATCCAACTGGGTAGATGGGATTTTTTTTTTAATTCCATTATAGAAGTAATAGCCCTGTTTTGGTGTTTTGTAAGCAGATAATATTCTGCTAGTGACTGTCTTTTCAGTAATGCATTGCTCTGAATTCTGAATTCTATTA